CTGATGCTATTGAAAAACACTCCTTTCTTCCTGTCCGTGGTTTTGGGGAACAGATTTCTTGTTCAGTCACCTGCAGGTGTTTTTACTCTCTCTCTCTCTCTCTCTTTCTCTCCAGCTACTTTCGAGGGAGTGTTTTTCTTGCACTCTCCCAATACACCATACTCTCCCCCTTTCTCTGTCCTCTGTCTGCAAAAACAGCTCCCTATGCTCCACGGCTTTTCTCTCCCCCAGTTCACCTCTCCGCATTGGGTACCTGCCAAGTTCTTTGGCTCAAGTTATGCAGATTGTTGTGTTAATCCTCAGATCAATTTCCTAGGTGTGTAAAATTGTTTGGTGCTGATCTAGCTGCATTTCAGGGATGAGACAAGCTGAGGGTCTCCATGCTACCCCTCCATCTTAACTTGAAAGTCCATAAATGATTTTTAAAAGGGGTATGCATTAGGAAAAAAGTCCTTAGGGCGCCTGGGTGGCTCAGTCGGTTAAGTGTCTGACTTTGGCTCAGGTCATGATCTCATGGTTCGTGGATTTAAGCCCTGTGTCGGGCTTTGTGTTGACAGCTCAGAGCCTGGAGTCTGCTTCAGATTCTCTCTCTCTCTCTCTCTGCCCCTCCATTGCTTGTGTTCTCTCTCATAAAATAAATAAATAAATAAATAAATAAATAAATAAATAAATAAATAAATAAACTTTTTTAAAGAAAAAACTCCTCTTTCTCCTCAAGATTCAGGTTCATTAAATTGAGGGTAGAGCTTGCATATCTTATTTTCAAAGCTTCTCAGATGATTTCTATGCATACCCTTGATTAAAGTTAGTGATTTATTCACAACCTTTTTGGGTCACCTTTTCAAAGCCCATCTATAGGTACATCATCCTTTGGCTTAAAAGCTTTCCATGTTTCCCCCAATGCCATTGGTATAAATTCCAAACTTCTTAGCTTGTGGTAGAACAGGCTTCATTCACATCCTGGCCCTAATCTACTTTTCCAGAGGCATTTTCAGCTGTTCCCCTTCAAGTGCCTTTGAGTCCAGCCAAATAAGTTAAACCCACATATGCCATGTACTTTTGGGCTTCTGTGCCTTTTCCCATACCATTTCATCCATCCAGGGTACCCTTAACTTTTTTCTGTATCTGAGAAACTCCTCAGTGTTACTTCAGCCTCACTCCCATTGCCCCTCCTTTCCTCCAAGAGTAACTGCTCTTCTTTGACTCCTCAATTTTAGCTGCTTTCACTACTTTGCATTATGATGATCTGTTTACATACCTGTCTTCATCAATATGTAGTTAGGTTATTGGGATGAAGATAGCCTTACTTATCTTTTGTGAGTATGTACCCAGGAAGAATGCTTCTTTCTTTTTGATTAAGATTTTAAAAATTCTCTCCATGTCTTCTTTTGTATCGACTACTTCTGCCTAGCAGATTGCCTTCTGTCTGTATCATCCATCTATCTCCTCAAAAAATTGGCACGTCTTATGAACAAAGAAGGAACCTCCCAAATTTATACGAAGAGATGGTTGGTGGTCATTTGGGTATCAGGGAACTCATTAGTTTCTAAGGATGCCTTGTTGAGATCTTCATCAAAGGTAGATATAAAACATCTGGTGACATGTTCAAGGTATTCAACACGGTTTTGCATGTTAAAGAAGACCAACAAAGCTGATCTGATGAGTTGTGTCAATTCTGCCTTGTAAGTTTCTGAAACTGGTACTGTTAATGTCTACTTCACACCTGGAAGCATTTTTTCATCTGTGTCCTACTGGACATATGAAAAAATTTTTTAAGCCAGAAGTCATTCTTGGTGTATCACATCTCCTAGGACCACATCTGAGTTGTTGGTTTTCACAGTGAATTGTGGGTCTAGTGGTAGATCCTAAGTAAAGACTCCCTTTATGTTTTCAAATTCCTCTTTCATCTTGGACTATGAACACATAGTACCTATTTCTCTGGGAAAATGTGCTAGAAGTTCACAAAGGGTATGAAGTTTTGGGGGGAGTTAAGATTAGCTTCCAACTTACAATGTAGTCATTACTGTCTGGTTCTGAGTTTAGAGAAGAGGTTTTGATGTATGTGCTAAAAGATAATAATTGAGCATGGGGCCCTTTGTTTGTTGAGCATCGACTCTTGATTTTGGCTTGGGTCATGATCTCACAGTTTGTGGGATCAAACCCGGTTTGGGATTCTCTCTCTTCCTTTCCCTCTGTCCCTCCCATTTGCATTCTCTCTCTGTGTCAAAATAAATAAACATTAAAAGAATGATAATAATTGAGCATGCTATCTGCCAAGAGATAGAGATGATTGTTAACAAGTCTTGTGGCATCAGACCAAACAAAATACTACAAATCATGAAATTTTATCACATGGATCCATGTGTAAGAAATTTTTTTTTAATTTTTTCTATTGTCATTTTTCCTCTGAGAATGTCAGAAAGGAAATTGAATGTAGTAGTATCGTCAATATTGAAAAATACTAGGTATCTGTATTAGTTCTGAAAGCATGAACATGTCCTTATCTTATTTGGGAAATGGGTCACTAATAATAATATATTAAACGAGCAAAGCCCATTCTGTTTTCAGGACCAGAATGTTTCTGGTGCCCTCAAGGATGAAAAGCTGTGATGTTGGATTTGTTTCTTTCATAGGAATTGTCTCCTTGTTCCATTTGGACATTTAGTCCATTAGAACTAAAGTTAATCTCTGTTCATTTTTATTATTAGCCTAAAATGATTGATTGATTGATTCATTGATTATAACTCAGCACAGCTACTTGGCATTAATAGGCTTGAAAGTGTGGGAGGCAATATTGGATATCTGCCTGGAAGATAGGTGGGGAAATATATAATGTGGAATTAAATTCTAGCCTAGAAAAGCATATTTCAGTTCTGAATGTCTTACTTTGCAACTTGTCACATAAAGGGAGGAATGTGTAATAAATAAACATAGTACTGTGGCTTAAAAGTCAAGAGACCTAAATCTGTTCCCTGCGAATTACTTTAACAATTTAATTACTTTAATAATAAATTAATCCTCTCTGTTAAATGGAAAACCATTAAAAATATTTCCCAGGGTGCCTGGGTGGCTCATCGGTTGAGTGTCCAACTCTTGACTTTGGCTCAGGTCGTAATCTCAGTTTGTGGGATCAAGCCACATATCGGGCTCTGCACTGAGAGCACAGAGCCTGCTTGGGATTCTCTCTCTCCCTCTCTCTCCCTCTCTCTCTCTCTCTCTCTGCCCCACCATGTGCTTTCTCTTGCTCTCTCTCTCTCACTCTCTCTCAAAAATAAATAAATAAACAAAATATTTCCCTACCCAGAAATAAAATTGGTTAAAAAAAAAAAAAAAGAGGAGTGTATAGATAGATACAGAGATAGGTAGGTAGGTAGTCCTTGGCTTAACCTGAAAATTTTCCCTTGCGTTTTTGAGTGTATTGTAAAACCTACAAAACAGTAAAGGCTCTGGTCCCTTAATATTCACCAAGACTTGCTAAGTATAACCTCTACAAAATCACTTTACATAATTAACTCAGCACTTAAATATAAGGAGAAACCAGGAGCTAGTTCCCAAGCACCTAAATATGAAAGAAGGACTTCTTTGCTTGACTTTTGGCTTTGATGGACAAATTTCTCTGAAAAGTACTTCTTTCAACTTAGGAAAGCAAGTGAGAGATTTCCCAGGAGTAATATTTAGCAATAGTCATGTGGCTCCAATGCAAGACAGTAACCCTGTGTAGCTGAGCTTGGTGGGGAGGAAGAAGAGCAAAATCATAGATTCCTTTTGGTAAGTTTGGATTCATTCTTTTAAGACTTTCTCAAAAAGGAGCACTAGATCTTGAGTCCAGAAAACCAGTGCTACAGACGAGTTATCAAATGTACTTACCTTATAATTTAAATTTAGATTATGTTATAAAAAAAAAAAAAGCATTCTAGGGGTACCCAGGTGGCTCAGTTGGTTAAGTGTCCAACTCTTGATCTCAGTTCAGGTCTTGATCTCAGGATTGTGAGTTCAAGCAAGCCCCACATTGGGATCCACAGTCTGCATGGAGCCTACTTAAAAAAAAAAAAGCATTCTGATTAGAGGATAAGTATAAAATATGGATTGATTGTTAAGATTCTAGTAAGGCATTAATAAAAGAATTTAGTACTTAACAGCCTGTTTTGGTAAAAAGTATGCAAACTAAATCCATCTTGTTCATCTGTGATCTTCCCTTTCTTGCCGATGACAAACGTGTGCTATGGCTATAGCATCTTTTGGCATCAGAGTCTCCCCATCACCTCCCAACTTGATCCTGTGTTTATGTTGGTCTATTTTGATGGGCTTTTCCCATCATTCTTTTCTGCCCTCCCCCTGTGCCCAGCTGCCAGTTTCTTGACTCTGCTGTGCTGCCTTCCTGCCCATCTCTTCTTCCATCACGGGCCCATTTTTGACACATTGTCCTTCTTTCTGTTCCTGCTTTGTCTCACTCCCCTCCTCAGGCTTGCACTGTGCTGTCACCTGATTCAGGTATGCCCGGGAAACCTAATCCTTTCCACTGCCCTCATCATCATGTCTGTCCACCCAAATCTAAGGGAAGACAGTGAACTCTAACCAAATCAGGAACAACATGCAAGTTGCCATTGTGACCCTCATAATATACCACAAACGTCAAACACCTCGTAACCCTGGAAACACCTAAGATACAAAGATACTAATTAAGTAGCAGAACTCAGTCTCTTGTGCACTAAAACTACGGAACAAAATCCGGCGAAATTACATCCCTGTCATGGTGTGTGCGTGACCAGTCGCTCCTCTTGGTGCAGTGCAGCTCTGTGGTCCTTTGGCTTTGAGTGAAAGAACCCTTCTTGTTGAGTTTGCTTGGGCTGCACCTATCCATCTCCACCCTTCCTCCCTGTGAATCCTACTGTGCTTATCAGAAGCAATGATAGTTGGTTCCTTTGCCCCTATCACTCTTTCATTTGTTTCCCCGGTCCTATTGGTAATTATTAATATAATGTAAATGTCTTTCCTTTCAGTCCTCCTCGTCCTCTGGCCAACATGAACGACACCATGGTGAGCCACCTGTCCTCTGGGGTGCCCACCCCCACCAAGAGGTATGTAGGGTCTACGCCTCAGTCACTGCTCAGAGTTGGGTACAGGCCTGGCCGGGGAAGCAGAGATTCCACAGGGCAGAATTCTCCTCCTTTAACTGTCTTTTAAAATTATTTTGTGATTTTTTTTTTCTTCTTTTTTTCCCCACTAACTCGTAAATGTAGCACCAAAGGAGTCTGCTTGTGAGTGGTGCCTGAGGTGGAAACTCTTCATTTGTGACAAGCAGTGAACATAGTGTCAAAGCAGATTTGGCACTTTGGAAAGCCTCTTCTTTAACATTAAATAATATTTTGATGATCATGAATTTCAACAATTTTGCATTTGCATTCTTTAAATGTTGAAGATCGCTTCTGCTTCTTGATTAGACTGTGTGAACTGAATTAATCCCTGATAATTCTCCTAAATCAATGTGTATACGATTCATAAACATTTAAGTTGAAAAGCTTGGGTCTTTCTCTTAGTTTTACAGAGAGTCTCCTTTAGGGTCCTACAAGGAGCTAGAACTGTGTAGTCCTTTCTCTTCTTTATTTAATTTACTCTTCTCCAAAATTCTCTCAGGCAGGACTTTAAAAGAACTCTATAAAATGGCTTACTTTCTGTTTGATTTAAGCTGTTCCATAATGAGAGTATTGCAGAAACTCCCTCAAGGGCACAGCCATTAAAGAATCCTTTCTAACAGTCATCACCCAAAAGAGAACAAAAAAACAAAGACATTCCAACCAACTCCCCAAGTTCTTCCTGAAGAAAAACTACTTTGTGCCATATGTACTGATTGCTTTGGATTAATTCAGCTATAGAAATGTCATCTGCTTAATAATACTGTGACTTAACATATAATATATGATACTTAAGATCAACTGTGTTTGTTTTCATTGGCTAAAACTCCTGGAGCACTCTTTCCCAAACTTGACTGCTGAGAAGATTCAAAAGAATCACGTGGGTCAGTTATTAAAAATACAATTTTCTGGGACCACATCAGACCCAGTGGATCCTGAGCTCTTGAGAAGTTACACCTCTAACAATAAGTATTCCAGGTGATTCTTATCATCAAGCAAGTTTGGGAAAGAGCCTTAGAAGGAAGCTATGGAGTAAACTGGAATAGAGGGTTTTGGGATTAAATCAGAGTGACCTGATAATGTGTTGTCCACTAGGAAACTCAAGACGACCAGGTAAGAGTCCTTGCCTACAGCCTTGTTGAGACACTACCGCTTCTTTTTTTTTTTTTTTTTTTTTCATGTTTATTTTTGAGAGAGACAGAGACAGAGCATGAGCAGGGGAGGGGCAGAGAGATTAGGAGACACAGAATCTGAAGCAGGCTCCAGGCTCCCAGCTATCAGCACAGAGTCTGACTCGGGGCTCAAACTCACAAACTGCGAGATCGTGACCTGAGCCACCCAGGCGCCCCCCTTACCGCTTCTTTTGAGCAGATTTAAGTGGTATTCTTGACTACAGCATAGACTTGAGCCTGACTGGCTGCCTTTAAGTCCTGGCTCTCACCTGACCTTGAACAAGATTTTTATCTTCTTTTTTTAAATATATAAAATGGGGACAATGATAGTGTCTACCTTGTGGGGTTATGCGAAAATTTAAGATATTGTTTTCACTATTTAAGAAGTAAACTGATGAGGGGTGCCTGGGTGGCTCAGTCAGTTAAGCATCTGACTTCGGCTCAGGTCATGATCTCACAGTTCTTGAGTTCAAGCCCCACATTGGGCTCTGTGCTGACAGCTCAGAGCCTGGAGTTGCTTGGGACTCTGTCTCCCTCTCTCTCTGCCCCTCCCCCGCTAGTGCTCTGTCTCTGTCTGTCTCAAAAAATAAACAAACATTAAAAAAAATTAACTAAACTGATGAGAGAAGAGGTGGTGAAGAAACAATAACTTATAGATGACACTCTTTGTAGCAAAGTCTAGTAGACTTGGTCCTTCCTAGAGGTGGTTATCACAGACTTTGTAGGCGTTGACCAGCAGAACAACGGCAGCCAGAGCCCTTAGCAGGCCAGAAAGGAAGACTGAGCGCTATAATTTATGAAGAAGAGTAGTTGCCATATGGGAACAAGATGCTCCCATCCTAACAATTTAGTCCTTAGAATTTTAGATTTCATTTATATTCAGGATGAGATTATGATGTAACACGTGGGCATCAATTGCATAATCCGTTAGGTTTGGCTTTTTGTGGCCCAAGTTACCAAACCAATGTAAATTTCCAACTAGTATTCTATTTACTTCCTTAAGGATTCATCAGTTTTTCTTTTTTCCTCCAAATGTCATTAGACGTGTGTCTCCAGAGTCTGGTGAAAGCTAGGAACCCAGCACATCATCCCAGTCATACAGAACCTTTCTCTGCTGGGGCAGAGAATCCTCAAGGAGAATAAAGCTACTCTCCAGAATTAAGAAGTTTCCTTTAGGACTCAGCATACGACATAAATCACTGAATCAGACAAGAACATGCACAGTAATAAAAATGCAGGAAAAATTTAAGAGCTACAGTTTCTGCCTTTTCAGGAGGCAGTGCATATGAAAGTAGTGATAGCTCCAAGGGTCAAAAATACTATGTGAGTCCAAATAGAAGATGCTCACAAATGTAAGAGTGACTTTTTAAAGAAGAAAAACTTATCAATGGCAAAGATGCTGGCTGTCACGTGAGATGCTGTGAATTATGTTCCTGAGAGGGTCCACTGTAGGGATTTGCTCTATATAATATTCTTCTAGTATTCCTATATTGAAATTTCTATAATTGGAAAGAAATTTCATCTTTGCTTTAGACTAAATAGTTCCTGGAAATTTGCTTTCTTTAAAAACAACCAGAAGAGGGACGCCTAGGTGGCTCAGTCAGTTGAGCGTCCGACTTCGGCTCCGGTCGTGATCTCACAGATAGTGAGTTTGAGCCTTGCGTCGGGCTCTGTGCTGACAGCTCAGAGCCTGGAGCCTGCTTTGGATTCTGTGTCTCCCTCTCTCTCTGCCCCTTCCCCGCTCATGCTCTGTCTCTCTCTCTCAAAAATAGATAAACATTAAAAAAATTAAATAGAATAAAATAACGAGAACAATGTACTTAAAAACAAACAACAAAAAACTTTCAAAACTTTAAAATAGAGGCTTAAAGTCTCCCCCTTCTACTGGATTTCCTCCAAGGCTTGCTTCTGTCCCTCTTTTTCCCCAGGGTTCAGAATGTGAATGGTGGTATTAGTCTCTGGACTAAGGTACTGTATTATTTTATTTATTCATTCATTTTTATTTTGAGAGAGAGAGTGAGCGAGCCGGGGGGCGGGGCAAAGAGAAAGGGAGAGAGAGAATCCCAAGCAGACCCTGCACTTCCAGCACAAAGCCTGACACGGGCCCAGGCCCATGAACAATGAGATCATGACCTGAGCCGAAACCAAGAGTTGGATGCTTAACCAACTGAGCCACCCAGGCACCCACTGTTATACTGTTTTAAATCATAACATATATTCAGACCAATATCGAAAATTATGCCAATATTTTCTAATGTCTTCTAAAGCCTTAGCGTCATTTATGAATATTTAAACTTTTACAATTCTGTGGGCAGTTCATATAACTATGGCAGTAACAAAAACTTCCAATATGACACTTTTTGCTTTGTGCATTCAGTTGGTATATTAGTATTAACTCTTTTAACTTCGTGTATTAAAATTTAACTTAAAATGCACAAACCCAATTAAGCAAGATGAAAAGGTTGTAAATGAACTGCTCTATAGCATTGTGCTCGTAGTTAGTACCAGGTAGATCTTATGGTATGTGTTCTTACTATAGTTAAAAAAACAAAAAGGAAAACAAAAAGAGACAAACCCACAAAGACAAAGGCAAAAGCAGAAAGCAAAGGCAGAAGTGTCCACGGATCACAAAAGCAACTTAAAAGCCGTCGGGATGTCTATCTGTGGCTTCTCCATCTCTTGGTTACTCACAGAATGCCATCTTCATTCCCTACTGCTGCGAAACACCTACTTCTCAATACCGCCGATGGCTTCAGATGCACAGCCACAGCATTGGCATTCAAGAAGTTATGCTTTTCCTCCCTTCGATTAGAAAACTCCAAGGAAGGGTTCTTAACTGTCCTGGATTGGATTACTGCCCACCCTTGTGTATGTGGTAGGCCACACCCATTAAACCTACATCATCAAAACAGAGGAGGGAGTGTGTCCCCAAAAGATGGTCATACTGTCAAGAACAGAAAAGAGAGATCGTGGGAAGGACAAATAACAGAGGCTGTTGGCAGACCACCGTTTTGCTACCGAGCACACAGATGTGTGCAAAAGTATATACATACACACACCTTCTCATACAGGTTTCCTCTCCTAGGGTTTTCCTTCCCATAATGTAGCATTCCACGTACAACTGCAAATGGGTGCATGCCTCTCCCAGGAGTCTGTCCACGTGCTGTAACAGCCCTGGACCCTGGTTACATAGATTATGTCCATTCACCCAGGTCAGGTCTAGGTGTGTCTTTCTATGACTCCTTAGCCCCTCCTGCCCTGAAGCAAATGATAAGTTGTAAGCACTTTGCACCCAGTCCACAAAGGTAGAGATCAGAAAGTAGGAGAATTGTAATTCGGACAGCGGGAAAAGAGAGGTGACAGAAAACATGGCATATTAAGCCACATCTGCTGTGTTTCCTTGTGAAACACCACCAAAATGACAGTGTTGGGATTATTTTGAGTAAAAACCCGCAAGAAGAAAGAAAAATGAAAGAGGAGACCATACCAACAAGAATTTGGAAGCAGCAAAGCAGGTGGGTGAGTGGAAAGAGATTTTACAGACTGGAGAAGACTACAGCATAAGCGGATGGGGAGAGGAGCCCAGAAGAAGGCCCGCTGCAGGAATTAGAAGGCAAAGGGAGGATGCAGGATGTTTAGCTGGTAGTCTGTACAGGAAGCGCTTCGAACCACAGACTATCCACATGACTGGGTAATTGTCCCTACCCCCCTCTGCCAAAGAGTTGAGGTTGATATTTGGGGTTTTTGGAACAATACAGCCCCCAGGAGATCCTA